AAAGTTGTAGCGCTAGAAATTAAGAAAAGAAGTTTGTGTAGAAAAAAACAAGCAAATACAAATTACATATTCAATAATATTACCATCCAGGACCTGTTGTTATTATATTATTTAATGACTCAAATAATATTATTCTACAGCAATTTAAATTGCAAATATTTTAGAATTTATACATACCTCCTTCAAACCAAAAGATCTTAATGAGGAAATGCAAAAAAATATGTTTATTTTACCGTTTTTGATCAAAATCTAATATTCAAAAAAAAACCATACCAATTTGTTTGATCTTTTTTCTGCCTCAAAGTACCAGAAAAACAATTTATCTTTCGAATTAGAGCTCTCAGACACAGGCAAAACTCCTGCATAATTGACAAGCTTTCCATGATATGTGACGTTTGGGATATTTTCGGTATTCACCAAAAATTCTCGAGCTTTATCGAACAATTAATAAACATAATTTTAATATTAACGATAAAATACGTGTCCATGTACATGTACTTACCAGAGGGAAGATTATTTTTTTGTCCATTAGCTAAATAAAAATATGCTAAAAACCAACAACCAATTGGAAAACAAAGAATACTAGCGCTATTGATTTTCATTGTTTGTCCGCTAAACGTTCAATTCCCAAGACTGTGTGTGTATTTATAATTAAAAATGAATTATCGTAAAAATAATAAAAATGAACTAAACTAAATTACATGTATGTCAAACAAATAGAAAATCTACAAATCTACGAAGAAAAGACATGTCGGTTACAGTTTCCACAATACATGTACATGTATGTCAAACGAACAGAAAATCTACAAGAAAAGTTACAGTTCCACAATACATGTTCATGTATAAGGATTGACCATAAAAAGCCCGGATATTTTATTGGCATTCTCATTGTTTGGCTGTGATGTGACTTAACGTTAATGTTTGCCGATCTGTCATCTTAAATTAATTCTTTTAAAATGGCTTGTACTGTATCTCTTATGAAACTGCTTTTATGCTCTATCAAAAATTGTTCCTTGTGGAATTTTGCTTTATGTGAAAATTTTTATTAAATTGAAATTTTAAATTTATTTTTTTATTAAAATTATAAGCTTTAGTTAGAATTAAAGAATCAATATTATGCAAAAACGAAACAATGTCTAGGTAAAATTTCGAGATTATTTTGATCTTACAATTCGATTGGTTAATTTCAAAAATGACAAATTAGTAATAAATATAAAGCCACATCGCAGCCACAAAAGTCACACGCCGGCTTTTTTGTTGGCTACGCTAGGGAAGTTAAATAAAATAACACCCATATCGATATCATTATACATACCGATATGTTAATTTGATCTGTCACTCTAAATTAAAAATTCCTTCGACAATTGATATTAATTTTCTAATAATTTTAATTGCTTTGTTTCTTTGTTTCATCATATACAAAATATGTAAGCGGAGCTAGTAAGGTTAGGCAACGGACGTTTTGAATTTTAAATCGGGCTTAATAATTAAAATTCTTCTGCTGTTAGCGATAGAACAATAATGGGATATGTGTTTGGGTTAATGGTTTCGCATCGATTTTGATTTACTCCGAACATTGAATAGACTACTAAAAGTTTAATCATAATTTAGTCAGTAGTCTTTATTAATAGCTATTTTAATTAAAGAATATCGGTATATTCTATAATATGTAATCGTATACTGTACTCTCAATTAACTCGCTAAAGCCACGTACCCATTTAAATTAAATATCTGATGCTTTGCACGATTAGTTTTCAGTATTTGATCAAAAGTTACTATAGTAAACTTTGTTTTAAAAGAGGTGGCTTAATTCGGAAATATGTGTTGAAACTTTTATCTTTCAAATCAACCTTTAACAAAAAGAATTCACACCGTTACATTGAGCCGTTTACATCACTATAAATGGTTTATTAATAAGAAGTATCGGTATTTGTTTCAAATTCGGAATAAACATGTTTTTCTATGCTGCAACATTAATTATTAGTAAAAAAAAAATGATGTATTGTCAAAAGAATCATACAATCCAACCAATGTGGTATTTCAAGATACAATTAAAGTTTGATATGGTTAAAACAAAGAACATTATTTAAAAGTTTGCTCTAATGATACATCAAATAACATAAATGAAGTAAGCTTGTGACTTTAAAAATAATTCTTTATAAATATTGCGAGGCATTTCAATAATTTTTATTTGAAGATGAATATTTCGAAAGATGTAGTTTCATTTAACTATATAGAAAATAAGGAAATTTCAAATAGGAGTGACATAAATGATAACCATATTTCTTAAAAATATCAGATGGATTTGATAATTATTCTTAATTTAATCATTCTTCTCTTATTATTTTTTTATGTGAATACAAAGTTTAACACTAATATGCAGATTATAAAGAAGGATATCTCAATAATTTCTTTAAATATCCAAAATTCTAATATTTTAAGAAGATAAACTTAAATATTGTCTCTAATTACGTACGGGCTATTGTTATCATGCATCGTATGCATTAACTTGGATGTCAGCTAACCCCGACACTCATCTTCCCGACAAATCTATCTTTCCGACATCACGATAATCTAACTTCCAGAAATTCAACTTAACTCTTCCCAACTTCCCGAAAAAACGAAAAAACTAGCTCAATTTCTGGTTTCTGACGGGAAATTAGGCATGACAGAAAGTTGGTTATGTCGGATTGTCGGGAAGATGGATTGTCGGGATGTAGGGTGTTGGGGTAGACCCCATTAAACAAATTCATATATATTTTTTGGGCATTGTCTTTCATGGAAACAGCACAGATCAAATAAATGAATTCGAATCGTGCATTTTCGTGTCATTGCCGTGTTCAAACGTGTTTATGTATAACATCCCACGCCGAGTCATTCCGTATCAATCTTGTAATTTTATGTGTGTGCTTTTTTATAACGTGAAGAAATTGATGCATACGAAGCGACAACCTAGGAGTCCACATATTCGAACTTGAGAATATTGACTATGCCATCAAAGGATTACTTTTAATTTTTCAGCTGTAATCATTGATTATTAACAGCTCTCAGAGTTTTGTTACGACGAAAGAATAATAACTATTATTGAACAATTATATTTTAATAATCTTATTGCTTGATCACGTTAATACAACAAAGAAATTAACCGTATAAATGAGTTATAATTTTTCGCCATTCAGTAATTGCCTTTTTTCATAAAAAAAAAGGTACTAAGAAAACCCAACAAAGCACTAAGTAAATTTAACAGTGGGCTTATCTAATGTCAAACGAACAGAAACACTAAAGTTTATTTAAAGTTGAGTTCGTCCACTATCAATTTAGGTTAGGCAAAAAAGAAATAAAATCCACTTATACGCAAGATTTAGGGATAAGTAACAACAAAGTGCTATTTTACAAGCAAAAGGATTTCACAAGTTAATATATGTACATATTTATTTATTTTTTTTCCCGTTCTTCTTGGGAGCCAACTTTATACGGGCCTAGTTTCTATTCTATTGGTTTGGCGTCTCGACCTAACGTCAAAGATATTTCAAAGAAGTTTTTCATGTTTTACTGTCATTTCTTTGTTTAAAAAAGCTTAATAAACATTAGAAGAGAATGAATTAAAGTAAAATAAACATTAAAGAGAAAATAAACGAACTCAAGAAACATCATTAATTATGATAATTGTGGCGTGCTAATTATTTTTGCGTAGTGACTATCACAAAATGTCAATTGTTACGAAAATTATTATTACAAAGTGTTAATTATTATGAAAGATATTATTACGAAGCGTTAGATTCGTCGAAGTATCAAATACGTGTACAACACTCATAGAAAGTATCGTCCGATTTGAAATTATATAGTAAAATATATATAAAAATTTTTTTCTTGATATTATAATCAAAACAGTTCTTGCATCTTAAGTCTCCCACGGCTAGGAATTCAATTTTTGGAAACTTTAATTGATTAACTTTACAATGGTATAATAGTTGGAAATAATTACTAAAAGAAATGTGAATGTGTATATAGCTTGAAAATTTCAATTTTTTATATATAAAGCGTGGGAAAAATTTTTCATATAAAAAACGTGGAAAAAAATTTTTATCCTTTAAAATGAAAATGCTCTTTTCACTTTAAGTCTCTCACAACTGGGAATCATTTGTCCAAAAATATAAGTCATGAGCTTTAAAATGATATAAAAATTTAGAAATAATTAATAGAAAAACATGAATATGTATATACAGTCAAACCTCCCTAAATGCAAGCTCAAACTCTGGCCCAAATACACACCCCTACAATATATTACCGGAAATCCTAAAAACGAATCTGCCACTTTGAAATCCAATATCTCAAAATT